CCTTGAAGCTCCAGGAAGGTTTCGGGCTTGAGCTGTGCAGCTACAGGGTGGTGCACAGCCATGATGTGCGGTAGCCATCTACTCAGTTCATATGAATTGATTCCTTTGGCTTTGCGCAAGGTCCATGTGTCGCCGCTCTCGAGCAGAGCCCAGATGCATCTCTCGGCTGCGTATGCTATGCGGATCGTTTCCTGGAGAGACGTTTTGGCTAAGACGGAGTCGGCTTCCGCCCAATGGGTTTCCGATAGTTCTATGCCATTTTCGGAGAGCAGGGGCTGTCCTAAGTTGTATTTTGCAATGTTGTGGAATACTATTTTGTCATTGCAGATGGTTCGCAGTTGTCGGTTGGCTCTTGAAAGATTGAGGGCTGAGGAGCAGGGCAGAAAAGATGCGATATGCTGTGTGAGCTCATTGGGGAGTAACAGCAAGCTTGTCATAGCTGCTGTGTGATGTGGCTGAATGGCGCATCGAAGATCATGGAGGGAGTTATGACGATGTTAGCAGGGGGTTGACGGGTAGCGCGGCGTTAGCTCACGTGACGATAACGATAAGACACCTGTGCGAGTCGCGATATCGCACTGCGTCAACACACCGACAGGCACGCCGAAAATGCTTCCGGATAACATCGCCAACAGCTACCGAGAGTATAAAGCCGACACCGAGATCTTTGTTACATGGCTTGTCGAGACGGCTAGTCGTTGTGGCTTCGTCCCTTCTGCCACTGCGCCAACTTCTGCTACTGGTGGCCGACTCAAGGGGAAAGCGCGAACGGCTGAACCCAAATCCCCGCAAGCGCGCAAGGTCACCATCAATGATTTGAGAACGTGCGCCGATGCCATAGCAAAGAAACCTCCCAAGAAGTTCGTGGTGCCACTCTACGCCAGCAGAGCAGCAGCTCGAGCAATCCGTCAGCGCACCAAGTCGACGAAATGGCACGAAAATCAGACTGAACATGTAGATCCAAATTTACAGCATACATTCACTGCGAGCAACGAAGCACACGCTACTTTCACGGGAACTTTGGAGTACACACTTAATTTGTTAAAGCCGTTCATCACTACTGGCAAAGCGACGCCTAAGCCCAGCGACCACGCTACGCAGACCCCGATCGATGGCCTAAACACTAGATTCAGCAAGCTTGATATCGGAGAGCTGGCAGACCAGGAGCCGGGAAGCGGTGGCCAGTCGACATTCGTTGCTAGACCAGCAACAACCTCAAAGACGAATTATACTGTCGACAACAGAGAGGATGATCGCATGATTGCCATGAACATGTTGTTACAAGATTACAATGAGATCAAGGGTGTCGTCAAAGGAATCTGGCTTCTTTACCATTTGAAGGATGGTGTGGATTTTGTCTCAGCAGCCGCAACGACACAAGCAGCGATGCAGATGATAAAGAGCTTAGTGCACGAATTCTTGGCCTCGTTCCCGGAGATAGAGGACGCTGAGGGCTTCTGGCATAAGCTACTTGATCGTCCCGAGATCAGCAAATTGCTCAGGAGGCAAACAGACGAGGTGCGAGCGAAAGTTCGTGCAATGATGGGAGGATCGCAGTCCTGCGTAGTAAAACCCTCGGATAGCCTGCTCACCTATGGATGTCTGCACACATACAACTGCGTTTGGGAATTTCTTGAAGCGTATCCTACCGCCATGTCTCTTTTGGAGCGACGTGGCTCTGATGGTCGCAGAGATGTTCCATTAAGGAACCAATCTCTTTTGTACGCTATGGATGACATTCTTTATATGGTCAAAGACGTGCGGGAACGACCTCCTGTCATGGATAACTTTACGCAGGAATGGTATGGATACTTGAAACGAGGCTTCGACGACGATCTCGAACCTAAGGAGGACTACCAGTATGGAACAAACATCTCCATCGAAATGATGTTGTACACCGATCTGTACATAGGAGTTCAGGATTGTTTGGTTCCTCTCGTTCCACTCAACAAGCGCTCAGATGGTCGCAATGACTATGAACGGACACAACAAGTTGTAGATGATGACCAGGAATCTGACAAGCCATCAGATGGCGGAGGCGATCATGAACGGAATCCACAGGCCATGGATGATCAACAGAGGTCTGACAAGCCACTAGATGGTAGCGAAGGCGACCATAATCGGGATCCACAGATTACGGACGATTGCCGGGACCCCAGCGAGCCATCACATGATCGTAAAGATAACCGTAAAAAGGTTGCGTCAGTCTTTGCTGATTATCTTGAGACATGGTCACACGCTTCTGGCCATGGGTACATACATGAAGTGGTGAAGGGTTCGGCGCTTTTTCTGGACAACAAGGAACGATCAAAGTTAAAATCCTTCTTCCGCGATCCCCTGACAATGGGGGATAGCCTCGTCTGGATGAGTAATCATCCAATCTGGGTAACACGCGTGAAGCATGAGCGGAAAGCGAAAGGTCTCGATGAAAACTACCAGCCAGACGAACTCTATGATCGCCATAAGGGCGATTGGATCAGGATGAATCCATTCCTCGCTGGAACAATCTTGTTTGTGGCACTACATGCCGTGAGAGAGGTGGTGCTTCTTGTACAGAACGCTGATGGACTTACACTGGGATATGCGCATCTTTACAACTTTCTTCGTCAAGCACACAGTGCGAACCGGGCTGATACAGCAGACAAGTTACTTACAAAAACGTGGGAGGACATGGAGACCGTAATCGCACTGCTCGGCGAGTCAAGCGTCTTCAGGGGTAGCAGACCGGCAACACTCGACTTGTGTATTCAACGCCTGCTTCGCGCACACGGGATGAAAGCGAGTGATCTTGCGCGTACCAATGGTCGGTTCAAGAAGTCACATACCGTCCACGTAGGTGGCCAGATAAGCCTCAACAATACCCCGCTTATTGACCTGCTTTTCTCCAACGGCGGGCCCAGCAGCACAACCTTCCTCAATATTACAAACCAAGCCATCTTGGATTTTCTGATGAAGGAGTTGAAGGTTCATATTCAGAAAACATCGGACCCAGAAGCCTTCAAGAAGATTTGGTCAGGTGGGCCTCTTGTCGTGTTCCGTGTACTTCTTCAGTCTGAGTTACCAGCATTTCTTTTCCCACAAGAAAAGCTGCAACGCCACTGCAGCGCGATCAATACGCAAATATTTACCGCCTTGTATTTCACAATGACTAACCCAAACATGCAATCAACATTATGGCTGGATTGGGACGACAACGGAGCCATACCTATGAACCTTTTGTTTCACGAAAGGACCCACCACAAGAAGACAGCTGCTGTCTTCATCGACCAGAATATAGTCGCAGTTCATGGCCTTTCTATTCAAGAGGCTGCAGAGATAATGACGAATTATCTGGACAAATGCGTAACACGCGGACGTGGTGATGCAGTGTTTGATGGCACTAAAGGCTGTACAGATATCTTCAACGAAATTGTCAAGTAAGCCCAACCTCAGCAAAGTGCCGACTCTTTCACTAAAGCTAATATCTCTTGTGCAGAGAACTTCGTCTACCAAATCCTTTGCTACACAGTGCAGCCGACATGTCAACTTCCATTGTATGGGCGATTGTTGAAGAGGGAAAAGCGAGCAGATTGGTCTCCGACATGAACAACACTTCCGAGAGTCTTCAATGGATCGTATTACCAGACTCATTTGGTGAATTTGTTGCGGGACTAAGACCGGTGGAGGAAGAAGACGCAAAGGTGCAAACAGAGGTTGACAATGATTGCCCTGTACAAGACAAGGCTGATGATGCAGCTAAACTCGATACCTAGACAGTTATATGCTACGACCGACTCGGGTCGTATCGCGGAACATGCGCAGGTGTGTTGTACCATCACAACACATCACCTGGAATACATCGATGGCACCTCAGAACCATTGACGACAAGGCACTTCTGCCCTGCGTGATCATGTCTATACAGTCAAGGATTGGAAATAGCAGATTTGCTTAACGCATTTGTCCGATGGCTCTATGTGAACAACCAGTTCACTAAGCGTGAAAGGGTCTTGTACGCACTGTGATACCGCTTATAATACTCTCCAGACGAGCAAGTGTCTCGGCCGAATGCACGTCTTCAGTTTCGTTGAAGATGAACGAAAAGTCCCAGTTTTCCATTCTGAGATGACTTTTGAAGACCATTGTGATATGCGATATTGCTTTAGCAGCAGCGTTTGTCGTTCTCCCGACTTGAGCCAAAGAGTCTGAAGTCACCATTTGCTGTATAGCCCTGCCAGAATGTCTCAAAACAAGACCAATCACCGGCTGCTGATGAGCCGTGAGCAAGCTTGCCGACGCGAGCACACGTTCGGCGGCCCTTTTCTCAAGCTCGAAGCCGAGATTGTAGTCTTGAAGATCTACGAAGAAGACGTATGCAATTCCATCTCCCGGGCGGAGTGTATTTGGATCGACTATTCTCACTGAACTAGAATATCCAATTGGAAGCTGGAAAGCAACGTCCTCGAATGCCATTCTTGCCCCTCTCAGAAGATCCGCAAGCCGGGCCGTGCCCTGAAACGGATTGGAAGAGTTGACGGGCAGAACACTTTCTATGCGGTGAGCGAAGCTAAAGAGTAATTAGCCGAGGGCTCGCACATGCGCGTACAATATTACTCACGACCTAGCTGCATAGTTGCCACTGGTAACACTCAACCCACGATCAGGTATAATCTGAACCCAAAAGACCATCTTGCCGAACTCAACCCTCTCTCTATAAGCGTTACGGACGTGCGGGTCTTGAGCCAATTGCACTGCATCATTCCAAATCCGCGTACAAGCTCCTAGCGCCTTATGAGATACCGAATGCAACTCGGAGTATCGCTCTAGGTACTCTTCAGTTCGCATGAACCGCATGAAAATTCCGGCATCCTCTCCATCGCAGTGATCTGAACGAGTCCTGACAATGGTGATTACAAGACTCAAAAAGAGCTTTCGTAGCTCCCACTGGTGTAAGGCCCACTCGTCGTGAAGGTGATGTTGATCGGTTTGAATGGTGTCGATCAACAAATCCATGCCAATTTGGTCAGGACCCAGGAAACAGATACTCTGCAAACTTCCGGGCGTTGGTGTAGGTTCTACTGCCGAAGAAGCTATTGGGTGAGCTCTGAGGGTTTGCTGCCGTCGCCTTAGCAGATCTCTAACTGACCCCCGGAATGCCCGCTCGTAGACTCCCGTGGAGAAGATGTTTGAGTCGAATTCGAAGACACGCGATATCTTTGACATGTTGTCGGTCATCTTGCTTGTGAGAGATGCAGAGTCACGATGAACATAAAGAGATATCGAGTCTGCTTTTGCTCGATCCAAGACTTTCCTAGTCTTGTTTGTACCGAGAATACGTTGCTGCTCAGAGAGAGTTTTGCTACACACATAAGTCAACATTATCACGCTGCTAATCGGCGTAATACTTACCAGTTACAAGCTGTCAACAAAAGAGTCAGTGAGCTCGTCTGGTGCTCGATGAGCTTCTGTACACTTTCCGGCCCGTAACTTCCGAAAACAACTTTGAACTTGTCGCGGAGATCGAGTGGTTTCTCCGTTAGTTGCGCAAGGTCGGAAAAGAAGCTCTCGATCTCGGTCATCAATAACTTGCAGCAAGAAACTGATACGTCCAGGTCCATGACTAGTTGGTGGTGGGTGTCTTGGAGATCTTGATCTATCCATTCTTGTATCTTTGTCGAGGCAGCCCGTAGAGCAATGAGCTGGGACGCCAGGCTCAACAAAGTAAGATCAGCCTCGCCCCACTTCGTCTGAAGGTCGCCGATGGTACTGACGACTTTACTGATACCATTTACGATACTGAATATCGAACCCACTCCGCCGAGAATTGCGCAGACTTCTGCCATCTTCGTAGCCTATCTCAATCTCGTGGCATGTCTGAAAGCCTTCTTGTTAGCCAAGTGCTGTCAATGCCGAACAGGAGGATTACCCGGAGTCGTATGAGTCACAGATACAAGAAAAATAAGAATCAAGAATGGAAATACCATCAAGTTGTGTTGTCGAATGCAAAAGTTTCGACGAGGCTTTGGATAGTTTGAGGCGCAGAACATCAGTTCCAGTATCCAGCCCCCACGCTACGCCCACTGAAGTCAGTCAGACGCAAGCCCAATTGGGCCACCCGCCGTCAGCTGAAGCTTACATTACTCTGGGTAAATTGAAAGTGTATTGAAAGCGATCTCACAGGAATATGTACGAACATGCGAATAATAGACCAGCATTGGTAGCGACCACAAATGCAGCTTATCAACACTCGAATGAAGCAGCCTCGTTAGGGTTTCCTCCAACATATACCATGTGCTTGGGCCATAAGCAAAGCTGCGCCTTCCTACCCTGCGTAGTCTCCGCTTCCAGCATGTCAGGTGCCACACCCTTCTCTACCCAATCGATGAGGCTTTTAAGACCATCGCCAGGATACCAACCCAGCCCACCGCCGCAGTGATCCACGCCAGGCGCCTCAAAGTAGCGATAGTAATCACTGGCATTCGAATCCCGCTCATGCACCTGCTGCGCATAATGCGCAGTCGCATCAGGCGCGATGGCCATATCAGCTAGCCCATGCCATGAAAGGAGCTTGCCACCCGCTTTTCGAAACCCGTCGAGATCTGTGTTTGCGGTACCGATAACAGAGTCATAGCGGGCTACAGCATTGTGGAAAAGCTGCTCGAAATATGTGATGTTCATTCGTGCGGTGTCGTATTCGCGGTCGCGGATGACAAAGTCGGTGATCCAGGTTTGAGGTACGGCAAACGGTACGCCGACGCATGTGTTGTTCTTGCTGCATGTTGTTGATGCGAGACCAGCGAATGAAGCCCCGATGTTGCCGGGGTACCACAGGAAATCGCCTTCGGGAGTTGTTGCGCCTTGCCATATCAACTTTGCTACCTTGGCTAGGGTATTCGTGATGGTCATGCTCTGGTTGGTGGAGGGACAGAGGTATTGTTTGCCAACGACGGTCATTGGGTCAAAGGTGCAATCTTGAGGTGCCAAAATGATGCCGTCCTCTAGACCATCGAGACCATCGCAGGCTTCTGCAACAGCAACGTTGATAGCTTCAAATTCCTGCGGAGTCGGGAACCCTGTTGTGTGTTAGTGATTCATCTCTAGCCTTCTTTTGGGACTGACCATTCTCGTTCATCACAACCTGAGGCCAGAAGAGTTGCATCATCAACTCGTTCCAGTAGATAGCTGGTGCAGCCGCCAAGATACCATCATACTGATCTGGATACTTCTGCGCCATCATGTAACCTTGTCTTCCGCCCTGCGAACATCCATTCCAATAGCTGTAGCTCGGTGCTTTGCCATAGTAAGAATGAGTGACCGCCTTTCCCAGCGTCGCGGCATCATCTAAAGAGATCGAGGCAAGGTCTTCTAGTAACACCCAGTCGACCTTGCCAGAGTTAGTCAGGGACCAGCTGATATCCTGTCCGATGTGACCTCCGTCTGTCGCGACGGTAACGAAACCCTCGCTGGCCGCCCATGGGAGTGTAGTGTTCGTTTCGGGTCCCGCAGCCCATCCTCCTCCACCGGCGCCCAAGAGTCTTTCTGTCCACTTCTCAGGCGAGGGTAGCCAAACGACCGTGTGGATAGTGTCATTGGAGCCGGGATGCGTGTACGTGATGATCACTTCACAAGCGTTCAGATCGGTCACGGCAGTGGCGTAATGGTTTTGCTCCGCGGGCGCTTGGAATGATAAGTTCGTGTGTGTTTTTGTAGCAATGTCGAGAATTTCGCCGCCTGGCAGCTCCAGATCTTGGAAGGAAGAAGCTTCGCAGACTGGTTCTCCAAAGGCTGGGCATGTCAGGAAACCCAATATAGGAATGAGGGAAAGCAGACTTCGTCTCTTCGATGGATTTGTGTGCTGCATCGTGGTCGCAGGAAAGACTGAGAAAGCTACTCGTCAAGAGCTACTTACACTGCATACATTGCTTCCTTTACTTATAGCAAGCGCATACTGGACTCATTCGCACATTCATCCTGAACGGAAGGATTCAACTGAATACCCATAGGGATACCTACGTTGGTCAGTTTGCGACAAAGGCTGAGGCCATGCCAATATGAAAGGAGTATCAGCTGCCATCAGGCGCTCTAATGCCATCCAATCGTGACAATGATGGATTCTAGCGTGTCTCTCGATTGAAGTATGCAAATTGGTGGACAATGGCTGAGTCATGTATTCATGACTTGAGCCGCGCCTCAAGCTTTTGAAACAAAGGGCGTTTAATCTAAACCCCTGTTGTGGCGGTTTGAGTGGTTTTGAGGCCATTTTGTTAACGCGATGTCTTGCATTGTTCAATATGCTGTGCCGCTTTGGATCATTTCTTCTTGCTCCAGATGTTGCTTTTGTTAAGACCCGTAGATGAAGTGGTAGTGGATGACGACCGTTGATGGTCGAGGTCTCTGTACCCTTTGAGCGCGGCACGCCGCTGTCCGTGTCACAGGTCCAATGATGTGGCTTCAGGCCGCGAGCATCGGATACTGTCTTCGTAAGGTCGTCGCGTATCGCGGTTGATGGAGCATGGGTGACTGTGCGACCAGCGACGCAAGGTTGGCCACGTGTGGCGGCAGCACTATGCCTCTTTAGGAACACCCGAAGACGTCACCACGCGTCAGTTTCGCGAAGTATCACGAACCGTCCTCAACTTCTGTCAGCGATCACACCTCTGAGCCCGCAGATACGTCCGTCTTTCTCACCGAAGCTACAATGGAATACCGAGTCGGCTCTTGAATTTACCCCACATACCTTGTGTGGGGCAACAGCTACCCCGAGACCGCCCCGCATCGGTCACGTACCGGTCGGAACTATGCCGCCCGCATGTACAGCATGGCAAACTTCATATCTTTGCGACAATCTCTAGTCTGAGACAAGAAGCCACCGATATCCTAAGATCTACTGTCAACACGCCGCAACCATGGATCCAGCGCAATTCGGCTACAGTACTATCCCTCTCAACCACGCGCCATACGGCCCAATCGTCCCATCCGCTCTAGAAGGATCCAATGCCGGAAAAGTAGCCCTCATAACGGGGGCCGGACAAGGCATCGGCGCCGCCATCGCAGAATCGCTAGCGAAATCTGGAGCTCACCTAGCCATCCTCGACCTAAACACCGACAACCTCACACAAACCAAGAAGACATGTTCAGCGTCTGGAGTAAAGGTCGAGGCATATGGCTGCGATGTCACGGATATGGAGCGCGTCAAGGAGGTCTTCGCGCAAGTAGAGAAAGACCTGGGACCGATTGATATACTGGTGAACAACGCGGGTATATTTACTCAGCGACCGTTCATCATGGGTAGCTTTGACACGTTTTGGAAACAGATCGAGGTCAACTTCAAGGCCGTAAGCTCGTCTTTCCGCATGACGATATATCATCACTAAGGTATGTCCAGCCTCTAATGCTCATCCACGCCGTCCTCCCACAAATGCGCGACCGCGGCCACGGCTGTATCATCAACATCGCTTCTCGATCCGGCACCGTAGACGTACCCATGACTTTGGGATACGTGACGTCAAAAGCCGCTTTGATGCGTGCTACACATACACTGCAGCTGGAGATGGAACTCGATGGGCTGGACCCAGCCATTCATATGTACGCGCTGCATCCAGGTGGAGTGAGAGGTAACATGGGCGGAGGTAAATACTTCTCATCGGTATACCACGCCGAAAAGCATGCTAACGTGATTTAGCTGGAGCGCCAGATGATGTGAAACAGAAGTACGGTGACCTTACGGACGAAGAGTTCTTCAAAGACCTTTTCAAGGACGGACCGTCGCTTTGCGGGCAGACCTGTGCTTGGCTGGCTAGTGGAAAAGGGAAGGAGTTGAGAGGGCTCTTCCTAGGTAAGAAGCGCGTGCTCCGAAAATCGAAAAACTGAGGTTGACAACATACAGATTGCCGGCAAGATGTGACGAAACTCTTGGACATCGGACGAGAAACACTGCTGAAGGAGAACCGGAATAGGCTGACAGTGAACTTCATTGATGGATACTGCAACGAGCCGTAATGATTGGCACAGAAAGCCAATGTATGTTCTAGGGGGTGAAGAGTCGACATATTACATAATAAAAGACAAATACTCAAGAACAGAACAAATTCCATATACAATCCGCAACCTTTCCTCCCCTCCACTCAAATCGCCCTCCTGGACCACTCTTTTCTTGTCGCGACACATAGGCAACAAAAACCAAGACTACTGTGGGATACACCTAGTAAACAGGCATTTTGAAAGCATCAAAAGTGTACGTCCAGCTCTCAATAGACGCCTCATCCTGGACACACTCGAAGTCAGAGCTGTTTCCTGACCAAAGCGGTCTGGCAGGCCACTGGCAAAGTTGCTGCACTTCACCAGCGTTATCACCCGCTGACACAGTCGCATTGAGGCGACTGGGCTTAGCCCCATTCTCGACCCAATCAATAATCGTAGCCATGTTATCCTGCGGGTAAGGACCAGGTTGGAGCTTATTGGCACCGCAATGCGCCGCGCCGGGTACGAGGTAGAATTGGTACCAGTCAGCCATAGCTTCCTGGGCTTCGGCATCGGTCATGTTGGGGTACATGATCGAGCGGACGGATTGCCAGTAGTGGACGGAGGATGCAGCGGGGATGGAAGGGTCAGATTCGCC